TATTATTTGCCCTCACTATATAATAGGGATTATGTGTGACTTTGTGTGTTGTGTGTATATGCATACTGCTCTTATGGCTCCCCACACATTTTAACATAAAAACATATTCAGATATGTAGTGTATTAGGACTTGGTAAAAAGTAGGCCATGGGGATGAGGAGGCTCTGAGATGATTGGAGAAAAACACAAGTTGTTGGAAGGAGAGGATATAGTACAACTCCCTGAGGCCAAAACAGAGGAGTGGGGCTATGTACAGCAATTCATTTGGAATGGGATGGGGAAGAAGGAAGAGGGCAGCATAAAATGTAGTATGGAATTCAGATTCCTCAGAATCTCACATTTTAAGGGGCAATGTTTAGGCCAAAGCAAGGAACACTCTTTAGGTTTGCCAAATCTTAAAGACTGTGCTTTGGTACAGAGGTGTGTGTGTGTGTGTGTGTGTGTGTGTGTATTAAAACTTAGCTACATACATGTAAAATAGATTAAATGTTACCTGACAATTAAACATTAATTCTTCTTTTAAAAGTCATGAATGTAAAACCTCTCTTTCATGAAAAGTCATGAATAAAATCCTCCCACTTATACTTATTAAATTTATAAAATTGATTATTATTACATTTTTATAGCCAAGTTTAGGTGTACTTACATTTGCTTTAATAAACAGAATACTACAGTAACTACTGGCATTAAACTGAAAGTAGTAAATTGACCATGATATTACCTACAGTTTCTCACTGATTGCGGGGCAGTTAGCAGTTTGCTGTTGGGATTTCTACAGCAAAATTCAACATTGACTTTTTATAAAAGGGATCAATGTAGAACTAAAAAAGAGAGCTAAAAATCCACCCATGTTTTTGCCCTAACAGCTGTGGAGACAAACTTGAAAGATCAGAGGATAAAGAAGCATCTGCAGAAGATTCTCAGTAGTCATCGAGTACAAGGCTTTAGCATGTTGCATAGCTCTGTACCCCTCCCTTGGACTCCGAGAAGCAAAACAAACTGATACAAAATCATCAAAGAAATACAAGATGCATGTAAGTTTATTCAGAGCTTGCTTAACAGATATACTGTACATTGTAAATTCCTAATGCAGAATTTGGATCTTCCTCAGTACAGCTTTTTTAGGTGCTGATTTCTAATACAGGTTGAGTCTCCCTTATCCAAAATGCTTGGGACCAGATGTGTTTTGGATTTTCTCAGATTTTGGAATATTTGCATATACATAATGAGATCTTGGAGATTGGACCCAGTCTAAACTTGAACGTCATTTATACACATAACCTGAAAGTAATTTTATACACAATATTTTGTAATAATTCTGTGCATGAAACACAGTTTGTGTATACTAAATCACCAGTAAGTAAAGGTGTCACTATCTCAGCCACCCATGTGGATGATTTGGAGTGTTTTGTATTTCAGAATTCTGGATAACAGAGACTCAACCTGTACAAAGTATACATGTTCCTGGGGTGGTATATACAGGCTACTTCCTGAGAATAATAAGTAGGAAAGGACAAGCAGGAAGGGCCTGCCACAGCAGGGCAAACAACCTAGCAGAGATATGGAGAAACATTCACCTCAGTTTCTACTTTCTTCCTCTCCTCCAGATCTAACCGGTCCTGATCTGCCTTCTGGTCACGGTTGAATTTCTCCAGCTCCTGGGCTAGGGTAGCTGCCCTCTTGCTAGCCTCCTCCTTCAGCCGGTGATATTTCTTGACCTATTAGATAAATTGGGGGGTAGAGACAGAAAATGAACCTCTGGCTTCACCAGATCCATAGGGGGCTACCTGCCTAGGATTCCATGCCTCAGAGAGAAGGCTGGCTGCGAGACAGGAGTACTACTTTACAAGACTGAAAGTTAAACCGGGCCATACTGCTTTTAAATTTTATTTGCATTTATTTTAAGAATATTTATTTTGCATTTATTTTAAAAATACACAATGTAACCGTGAGGTTTATAAAAACAATTCTTGCACAAAACTGCAGTATAGTTAAAACAAACACAGCTATAAAACATCCTCAGTGCTCAAAAGTGAAAGGTCAACAAGGTTCAAAAACAAGAAATTCATTCTCTGCTATCCTTTGTTGTTGTGCCTTCAAATTGTTTCTGACTTATGGAAACCCTAAGGAGAATTTTATCATGGGGTTTTCTTAGCAAGTTTCTTCAAAGGGGGTTTGCCATTG